GGCACGTGGCGTCGTGTCTCGGGTTGACCTCGTGTCAGCGCATCGAATCTCTCTGCTGCACACACCATGTCGCGGTAGTTGTTGTAGTTCGCAGCAATCACCTGTTGGTGCCCCTCAGTATACGCTTGGAATTTTTCCCCTTCGGTCAGGTCGGTAATTCGGTTGAAGAGGCTCTCCATCTGCTGCGTGTACTGTGTTACACTGCCGTACTGTTTGTGCCGATGAATCTGCTGCCGCGCCATGTAGCTCGAATTAATCGGTTCGAAGCGTTGAATTAAAGCTGCCCGAAACTGCGTCCATGACCCCTCGCCTCGGATCTCCTTACTGTTGTAAATCCATTCGAGCGCCGGGCCTCGCAACAGTGTCGCTGCGAGTTGAATCCGCATTGCATCGTGTGTCGGGGTCGTACAGCCAACGGCCTCGAAATAAATTTCGAGTGTAGCAATGAATCGACGGACGTCGGTGTCTCTTGCATTCGGATTCCACGTCTCCAGTAGCCTCGGACGTGCCGCCTCAAGATTCACTGTGGCTGCTGCTTGGTGAAGTGTCGGTGTCGCCGCTGCTGCTGCTGCCGTCGCTGCTGCATTCGCTGCTACGTTCGCTGCTGCCGTGGCGGCTGCCGACTGGTTCGCGAGAAGCTCCTCTATTCGCTGGAGTGCCGCTCGCATCTGGTCCACGTCGGTGCGTAACTCCGTAATTTTTCGTACGGAATTTTCATTGTTTTCCTCCATTTGGCGATTTACAGGAAGATTTGCGACGGAAATAATTGCATTCTAGGCGCTGGTCGACTTACTGCGATTAAACTCGACTGTAGAAACAACGAGCGCTAGATCCGTACGCCACGTAATTCTCCCTTGATTGAAATTCGCGTCTGATCCCGGCCGTTGAGAAGAGAATCGATCCGACGCTCCAAATTCCAACTTTTTTGGGCGAAATTCTCAGGGCCGTTGAGATTTGAATCAATCGGACGGTCGAAATTCCAACTCATTCGCCAATGAACCTGAGGAGGATTCGAAAACCGGTTCGAGGGGGACGTTAAAAAATAGCGCGGAACTGGTTTACGTACCCGAAATCGGCGCCTCTTGTCGTCGCCCCCGCGGTTTTAAAAGCTAGGTTTAAGTGGTCGAAAAAACTTCGCAAGTAAACAGGCTCTGATTATCAAGTGTGAGGATCTATGATCGAGCTCAGAAAAGAGAGTTTGAATTGAATTGAATTGAATTGAATGATCACCTGGGTACAACACGAGGCTATATATAGGCTCGACACAAGGGGCAGTAACCAGGTGCTACGCGAAGGTTCTGGGGGTCGCGAAGCGTCCCGAACAGACCCTTCCCGAATTCGGTAGAAGGCAATTCGGTGGCAACCGAATAGCCTAGAATTCGGTGTACGTGACCTAGCGCGGTGCTATAACTATAATAAAATATAGGAAAGCACCTAGCCTAGGAAATCAAGCAATTCATGCATGCATAAAATAAACCTAAGCTAGAAATAGCGTAAGGGAATAAAAGCTGTCAGAGGTCCACTGGAGATCCCCGATGATCCTAGGGAAGGGTTACAGGCACGTTGGCCTGGGGGGTTATGGGCGCACTCACCCGCTACACAAACAAGCCCTTTTATCCCAGTGGTTAGTGACTGGGATTCTGACAAAAGCAAGCATGAATAACAAGCATAAGCCGTCGTACTCTCACAAACCTAGTGCAGCAGCCTCACCAGCACCGAGAGCAGCAGGCTCTATACCAGGGTCAGGCGGTACGCACAGGTAACAGGCACGGTCAGCACTAGTAGGCAATGCATACATGGCAATGAGAATAGCATCATAGTCAGAAGCAAAGATATCTACCCTCTGTCCAAGCAGCTCCAGCCAGTCGGGGAGCTCAGCCTCGTCGCCAAACACGGTACGCCAGGCGTCGCTCAGACGGGCGAAGCAGCGGGACTGTGTGTGACCAAGCGTCCCGCAAGGCTGACCAACCCGATCACCTGTGCGAATGACGTACGGGCAGCGAACTGTACGCGTAGACCGGCTACACTGAGCGTACCACTCGTGGAGCTGCCGGGACGTAAGTGTCTCGCGTGGACGCCGCTGCAGCTGCAGCTGGCCACTGCCAGACGCTCCCAACTGACCAGCTCCAGGGGGACAGCTACGACGGCTACCGCGACAACCCCAGCTAGTATACCACTCACTAAGCTGCTGGGGCGTGAGAGACTCACGGGAGCGTCGCTGGAGCTGCATCTGGCCACGTGCCAGTAGCAGTAGCAGCAGCAGTAGCGCGGGCAGGGCAGGCGCGGCAGGCCGACAGGCAGGCAGGCCGGCAGGCAGACAGGCAGGCAGGCAGGCAGGCAGACAGACAGGCAGGCCGGCAGGCAGGCAGGCAGGCAGGCAGGCAGGGAGGCAGGCAGGCCGGTAGGCAGGCAGGCAGACAGGCAGGCCGGCAGGCAGGCAGGCAGGCGCTCACCAAAGGCTGGAAGAGCAGGCGCTCGGCAGGCAGGCGAGCAGGGCCGGCGCTCGACGGGCGGCGGCCGAGTAGGCGCACGACAGCGGCGACGTCGGGGCCGCAACACCGGCGGCAGTGTAGGGCCGAAGCAGCTGCAGGGCGGGGCCGCTTCAGCGGCAGTTGAAGGGGGGGGGGGGCGCGTCAGCGGCAGGTCGGGGCCGTGGCAGCTGCAGGGCGGGGCCGCATCAGCGGCAGGTCGGGGCCGAGGCAGAGGGACGCGCGCGGCTCGGCGCGGGCTGCGCTGACAGCGCGCTGGGCTGCTGCAGGCCGCGCGCGGCCGCGCTAGGCAGTAGCGGGCCGCGCGCGGCTCGGCGCGGGCTGCTGCGGGCCGCGCGAGGCAGTAGCAGGCCGCGCGCGGCTCGGCGCGGGCTGCTGCGGGCCGCGCGCGGGCCTCGCGAGGCAGGAGCAGGCCGCGCGCGGCTCGACGCGGGCTGCGTGGGCTCGGCGCGGGCTGCGCGCGGCAGCAGCGGGCTGCGCGCGGCTCGGTGCGGGCTGCGCGCGGCTCGGTGCGGGCTGCGCGCGGCTGCAGCGGGCTGCGCGCGGCTCGGTGCGGGCTGCGCGGGCTCGGTGCGGGCAGCGCGCGGCAGCAGCGGGCTGCGCGCGGCTCGGTGCGGGCTGCGCGGGCCAGAAGGGCGTGTAGGGGCGGCGCGCGGGCCTTACGGGCCTCTAGGGGCAGCGCGCAGGCCTATGGCAGCAGGAGGCAGCGCTAGGGCTGCTGGACGGCTCGCGTAGTGCAGCACGTCACAAGGCAAGGCAAGGCAGGCAGGTACGTGGGGTAGCGCGGTAACCGCAGCGGTAGGTGGGCCCGAAAAAAAAAAATGGTCCTACGGACCTTAGTGCTCTGAAACCATGTTAGAATCTGGCAGCAGGAATGATGAACTAACAGCATGCAGGAGTACAAGTAGTAAACCCTAATTGGGTTGTACCCCATATGGGCTACCCCACTACAGCCTAGACAATATGCAGTATATATGTTTGACACCAGTAGCACAGTTGTTAGGCGGCAGCGGCTTTCCGTGACCCAGTCCCCCGGTGCTGTAGGCGCACGCCGTTCGCCTCGGCCCGTCCTGCCACATCCGTGTCCTCCCGTTAGTCGCGCCACCCACGATGAACCGAGCAGCAGCGCGACCCGTCCTCTGCCTGCGCTGCCGAAGGTGAAGATACCTTCCTTCCCGTAGCAAACTTGCCCGCAGGGACCTCCGAAGCGCAACGCAGATGCCGATGCTTCTTCCTCACGTCCGCGTTTCGTCATGCGTACACGGCGAAGGAGAAGCTTCACTGGCTGACGCTGCAGGATTCGCAGCCGGACCTGTCCAATCGAGCTTTGGCGAAGCTAGCGAAGGTGCTGTCAGAATTATATTCTTATACCTGCATGTAGTTCTAGCTGTAGTGTAGATATTAACTTTATAGATGGTACACTTCTTTGTTTGCTATATGTACCCTAGTGCTATAGTGAACATTCATTCTCCTCTCATCTCTCGACTCTCCCTCCTTGGCACAAACTAGCTCAATCCCCTTTGGCCTAGGCTACTAAGCCTAGGCCCTCACTTAAACCTAGTCCCTACTTATGCCACTATTCTGACAGGTGCAGCCCGTCCAGATCCGCGAGTGGAAGCGGATGAGGGAGCGGCTGGAGGTTGCCTCTGGATGCCGCCGTCGCCTCATGGGAGCCGGGCGCAAGGCGAAGTACCCGTTCATGGAACGGGCCGTGTATCGTCAGTTTCTTAAGCACCGCGCTAAGGGCCTCGCCGTCTCGGTCAACATGCTGCAGCAGTGGAGCGCCAAGTTCATGAAGCATCGGATGCCTTGGGTGAATTGGCGCGCTTCATTCCGCTGGTCGACTCGTTGGGCCAGAAATTAGCAGCGGGTAAGTTATGCTTGCATGGATTCCTTTCACTCTTCGATGTGTTTGCATCTAATGTTGTCTCCGTGTGCTAAGGAGGGCAGATTGCAAGACTAAGGTCGAATCCTTCTGGGAGTTCTTGATGCGGATGCGCATCCTCCACCACTACCCGCTCGACCTGATCGTGAACGCGGATCAGACTCTGCTGTTTTTGGAGATGCCGGCCGAGCGTACAATCGAAACGAAGGGAGCGCGGACTGTCCACGTGCACACTGCGGGCTACGAGAAGGAACGCGTCACTGTCATGCTGGCAGTGACGACGGGAGGGCTGAAGCTTCCTCCATATGTCGTGTTCAAACGTAAAACCATCCCCAAAGCACCCATCCCGGCTGGTAAGTGTTGAGTGAATAAGCCAGCACACTAGTTGTTGTTTCTTTAACTCCCTCTAACCAATCTGTCTTTTTGCGTTGTGTACGGCAGGTGTGGTGGTCCGTGCACAAGAGAAGGGGTGGATGGACGAAAGAAATGTGCAGGACTGGATAACCCAGGTCCTTGTGCCATTTCTGAAGCCCATCCGCGAAGGAACCGGTCGCCGTAGGGAGTCCTTAGTCGTCCTGGACTCCTACCACGGCCACTTGACCGAATCCGTCGGTCAGACCATGCGAATGTTCCGTCTGACACGGGCCGTCATCCCGGGGGGGTGCACCCCGCTTCTGCAGCCGCTCGACGTGTCAGTGAATCGCGCGTTCAAGGCCGGTGTGCGTCATAGCTATGGCACTTGGTTTGAAGACATCGGGATCAACACGAGGACGTGTGCAGGTGAGTTCGTCCCATGCTTAGCCGATCGTACTGTTGTGCACGCTTGCCCATGCTTTTCGTCGAACAACTCTTGCGTGCCCTGCCCATCCCTCAGGCAATCCGCAGAAGCCTCCTGCTGGGACAATTCTGCAGTGGATCGACGAGTCTTGGCGAGAGGTCCCGGAGGAGCTTGTCAAGAAGTCATTTGTCACCTGCCGGATCTCCACCAAGCTTGACGGCAGCGAAGACCACCTCGTCCTCACTCACCTGCGGGACAAGGGTGAGGTGGAAGTGCTGGAGGATGTGAACGAGGTGGAGGAAGACGAGGTTGTCGTCAACCCCTACTACGAGGAAGCTCGCATGCCAGCCGAGGTGCTGCAGGCGGACGACGACGCCATGCATGTGGAGGAGGATGCAGAGGATGCAGAAGCAGAGGACGGAGATGCGGAGGGGTATGGGGCTGGAGAAGGCAGGGATGCAGAAGAGTGGAGCGAAGCAAGCTCCGACTGGTGGCTCCCCGACCACTTTGACGGGGAGGAGGTTGAGGAATGGCATGCTGGGGATGATGAGGACTAAGTAGGCCGATAACTGATGCAGGAAGGAAGGAGTACCATTGATGCATGAAGGAAGGAAGGACGATGAGTAGGTAGCTAGTTCTCTGACTGGATGCTAGTAGGTAGCTACTGCAATAAGGAAAGACTGTGATGGTTGTCTGCACGCTGATTGGCCTCGAATGTAGCTTGTTTGCGCAGGTGTAAACCAGTAGAAGCTTAATCTTTGAAGCACATGTCAAATTTATGCCTAAACAGAAAATTTTCCCTTACATACCACCCCCCCGGGTCTTATACCGGATCGGCCCAAAAGGGGGGTATAGTAGAAACGAGGTCCGCTATAGCACCCCCCCCGCACAAGCCACCCGGGGGGTGTTCTATTTCGGCGGGTGGTATGTCCGGGTAAGAGTCACATCGAGCTGAGTGAAAGCTCAGTAACGGGCGCGTGACCGAGGCCGAGAAACTGAGTGAAGTTGTGATTAACAGTCACATCGAGCTTTTGCTTGATGCCGCTTTCGAAACGATCGAGGAGTTCCACATTGTCCACGGTGTAGAGGAGGTTATCCACATAGATGACGAGCAAGATGTAGTTCCCGTGGAACTCAAGTCGGTACATCCCTTGATCGTGAGGCAGCTGCTGGAATCCGAGCTTGATGAGCATGGTGTGAAGGTACTGCAGCCATACATGCGGTGCCTGCTTGATCCTGTAGTGGGACTTTTGGAGAAGACACACAGCGTCGCTATCTTCCTCGAAGGCATGCTCAACAAAAATGATGGTGTCGACTATTGTGTCAAGGAATGCATTCGACAGGTCGATATGGGAAGTGGGCGCTGTTTCACGGCTACGACGTAGATGAGAATTTGCATAGAGGTATGTCTTCTGACAGGTGCAAAGGTCTTGTCGTAAATTGACAACTTGTGTTGTTCGAAGTCGAGAACTACCCATCTCGCTTTATACTTGTCGATGGCGCTGGCCGCAAGAGTTAAGATTCTGAACACCCATTTTCCATTGAGAATTTTCCTCCCTTTAGTAGATCCGCATGGGACCAGCTTCCAGGTTCCGCGCCTTTTAAGTACTGCGAATTCAGCAGCCATGGCTGCTCTCCACTTCTCAGCATCGGGCCCCTATTGAGCCTGGCGGACAATGTTGTGCTCGACGAGCTGCTGGTTACCACGGATAGCGACTGCGAGACCGAGGTTGCGAAGTCTGGTAAGGTTTGATGCAGCTGCATCTGTTACTTTGACCACGTCATCGTCATTGCCAGAGATGTCGCTAATGGTGTCGCGATAGGAGTTGTCGTTGGGGCTTCTTCCATGGGTGAGTGCATTTCTGCACTTGTGTAATCGTGTTGTGTTTGTACTGCTTCGTGTTGATCGAGATCAGTTGGGAAAAAAGTTGTTGTGCCAAACTCCTCCGTAACGGGTACGAAGGGTGGCTCTCCTGTAGTTGGTTCCTCTGGTTGCTGTCCTGCCACGTCAACCTCGTCCTCTCAGCCTCGTCTTGATCATTTGCGTAGCTGTGCTCCCCCTGGAATATATTGTCTAGTGCAGCGCGGTGCTGGCAGTGCAGTCATAGCATCAGTCTTTCATAGAAGATGCAGTCACGTGAATGCGTGATTTGGTGGGTGACAAAGTCGACAATGGTCCAAGCGTGGTACTCCGGTTCAATGCCGAGGTGGATGCCACAGCGCGCGCGGTCCTCAAATTTTCTGGTTGGGGCAGTGTGAGGACAGTACTGTACCATACACCCCAAGACCCGGAGCATGCGCGTGTCCGAATTTTCGCTGGTCCACTCCTTGAAGGGTGAGGTGTTTTAGGGCAGGGCCTTCGAGAAAAGCATGTTGTGTAGGCGCACAGCATGCGCCATCGCATAGGGCCAGTAGATGGTGGGCACAGCTAACTACTTCATGAGAGCTCGCATTTTTGTCGCGAGGCTCCTGTTGGTTCTCTCTGCCAAACCCTGCTGCTCGTGAGCGTAGGGGAGGAAGATCATCCTCTGGATTCCCTCCTCTACGCAAAGGGTTTTGAACTCTTTTGTTTGATACTCCAATGCCTCGTCTGTGTGGAAGGCTTTCGGCTTCTTGCCTTCCCTTTGCGTTTCCGCCAATTTCAGCCACAGGTAGAAGCACTGGTAGGCAACATGGCGATTGGAGACATTCGCAACCCAGACGAAGCGCGTGCTGGCATCGATGAAGGTAATTGTATACTGCTCCATTTTTAATCCTTGTGCTATTAGAACCATGAAGTCGCTGTAGACCTTGTCGAGTGGTTCATACCGATCGACTCCAGGGACCTTCTTGGTGAAGGGAATGTGGCGTGACGCAACTTCTGGGCAAGTGGTGCAGTTTGGTAAGTCCTCTCTTGGCTCGAGTAATTTTTCGTCAAGTAGCAGCAGCGCGTCTTCTGCAAACACCTTGGCGTTGATGCAGTTTTTGAGAATCTTTACTGAGGGATGCCCAAGTCGTTTGTGCCAGATGTCAGCGTCAGCTTGATATTCTCGTGTGCGTGCGTAAAGCTGTTATTCTCGCGCCAATATTTCTTCTGCGGTTTCCTTTCGTGTTGCGTCTACAGGTGATTCCGGAACGAGGGCTTTAACAGCTGCTGCATCAAGAGCTTCAAGTCTCGTTCCGTGATACGCTCCGCTGGAGTCGCCGATGGTCTTGGTGACAATTGTCACGGGGAGCTCTTGTGGTGTTTCCAAAGTCTTTGTTTAGAGTCGCTGATCTTCCGGTTGGGTAATTTCCCCTTCTTCGAAATCGGTGTCGCCAATCGCTACTTACCCTGTGTGTTCTGACATATTCACAACAATTTCTCGCGCCTCTTTAGTAACATCTGGTTCTTCTTTTTATACAGGTTCTTATGCTATATTGGCCCATCCTCCTTCGGCTTCGATGGCTTCACCATGACGTGCTTTCCAACCTGTGCCGAATGTTGGTCAGTTGACATCTGCTGCATTCCATCCTTCGGCCACGTTCCACACGGTTGGTGACTTGACTCTGGGCCAGTTTGATTGTACCTATCCTCTAATTGAGCCTTTTATTGCTGAACTGATCTCCTCTCCTTCTTCTACTGCCTATGGTCCGGTGTCTGCAAGATTCGTGGTCGAAGCAAGTGGTACCGCGACAGCGCGGAAGGTTCCATCCGGTCCTGGATGTTATTAGTCCATTTCTTCTGGATGGCTCCAAGTTGATGGTGAGGGATGTCCTGGTGGGTCGAGGACGATGATGCGGTCCTTGTCGCTGACGTTCCCCGGTGAGTCAAAATTGAGCACGAATACTCCATTCTGGCTTGTCGCCTTTTCTATGAGGGTGCCCTCATGAATTGAATGAGTGCAGTTCAACTCCACACTCCATCAACTTCAACTGACAAAAGATTGAATTGGATTTCCGATACAACGAGCACGTCGCTGATGTGAATTCAGAAGTTTGTGTCCTTTGATTTGAGTTGGATATGGCTGCGGTTTTTCGCGTTGACCGACTGGTCATTGGCGACGCTGATCTTCACTTCGTTGAAGAGTTCTTTTCTGTGATATTTGTAGCAGCTCTCCAGGTACCGTTTGTTAACGTCCTTGCCTTGCTTTGCGATGTTCGCGATTGGCGGAGTGAGGTGATGCTCCATGTCATGATCAGTTTCATAACTCCATCCCTCTTTGTCGTGTACGATGCGTGCAGGTGGTAACTCTGCGATCCATGATGATGCTTCCCAGTTGTATGGGATACGCCCGACAGTCGACTCGTCGAAGATTGGGTCGTTTTCTTCTTCCTTAACCGATCCTTTGGGGCTCTCTTGAGGTGGGTCTTGTTAGGTCGGGGAGGTTCGTGTCGCGTCATGCAAGTTAACACCTTGTTCTTTCCCTTGTCTGTAGAGATGCGCGTTGGAGCTTGATTAGTGCTGGCCACGGCGGGTGGGGACACCGTCTGGTTGCGCGTTAGTGGTCCGGCTGCTTGTTGGTAAGGCGCTCTTCCCTGTTGCCTTTGCGCGCATTGTTTGAATTTGTGGTGGTTGTTGTTGTTGTTGTCGTCGTTGTGGTTGTGGTGGTTGTCGTCGTTGTGGTTGTGGTGGTTGTCGTCGTTGTGGTTGTGGTGGTTGTCGTCGTTGTTGTTGTTGTAGTCGTTGTTGTTGTTGTTGTTGTTGTTGTTGTTGTGCTTGTTGTTGTTGTTGTTGTGCTTCCAGCATTTCTTAATAGTGTGTCTCGTTTTCTTGAAGTATTTGCACATCAGCTTCCCTCTGTCTAGGTGTGCATCTGCACTGACTATATAAAAGGCATTTTTTTTATCGTTCTTGTTGCCTCTCTCGTTGCACAGGTCGATCTCCTGCTGTTCGACGAGGAGCGGAGCGCAGAGACAGGTTTCGGTGATGGTGCTTTGGGTGCGAAGGAGCGACTTGCAGTGGTGCCGATCCGGAGTTAGTCCAGCAAGAATGATGGTGACAAATATATCGTCAGGGAACTTTCCGCTGCTCTTCGTGTATTGGTCCCTTAAATTTCTGCAGCGTTTGATGTATGCCTTTGCTTTCTCCCGAGGGAACATCCTGACGTTGTGCAGTTGGTTTAACAAAGAATTGCCATGTGGCACGTGCGCAGGTTCTCCCAGGATTGTTGCGCGGGCGCCCACTTGTTCTTGAAGGAGCGAATGCTGAGCTGCTCCGCGGGCGACAGATTGCAGATCAGGACGGGGTTGGCGAGTAGTGACTCGTTGCAGTACTGCGTCTTCTCCTTAAGTGAACCGCTGGTTGGAAATGGCAGGGATTCATCGTAATACATCCAGATCTGTGCGCTCTGAGCTAGGAGCTCGAACTTGAAGCTCCAAGTGTAGAAATTCTTCCCGTCTAAGAGCGTTGACGTTCTGAGCTTTGAAGTTGAGAGAAACTTGCTCTGAATCAATTTCATTGCTTCGAAATGTGCTTGTTGTGCTTGCGCTGGTCCTTGTGCTCCTCGATTGTCGAAGCTGAACGATCGCTCGGAGTCAGGTCCTTGTGGATCGGGAGGTCTTCTGGCGTAGCTGGAGCCGTCAATGCTCGTTTTATGATGATGGCTCTCCAGTGCGTTGATGCGAGCGATGAGCTGTTCAATGGGTGTTGGATCCGCGGATGTCACTCTTGAGGTGACATTGGTGGTCTGTTGAACTGAACTTTCTCCAGTTTCACCGTAGTCGGTGCCTGGCATGATTGTAGCCTTGAACGTAAGATACTTATACTAAAGATCGTTCAAAATGACTATGTTTTTTTTTACAGATAGTGTAATCCAAACCAGCTCTCATGCTATATTGGAAACAATAAGTTGCTAGAGCGCAGTGGAAGCTCTAAGAAGATAATGACGTCCCTATGGCGGGGCTATGGCCACTCAGAGGTAGCTCCCCTGGCTTGTAACGTGGTGCCACAGCGACGGCCGAGGGTAGGGCGGACATAAGAGTGAGAATTGTATAGTGATTAACAAGGCATTACATTCTGTTATATAGGCATAAGATAGGCAGTTATTGTGGCGCAATTGTATAACAATTGCACAACATCGTTTGAGTTGCCTTGTTACAATCACGCTGGCGAGACCTTTCAGCTTCGGCAAGGGCGCGGTATGTTGCAGCGCCCCGCAGGGCAGTTTTGCATGCAGAACATGCTTCCCAATGTAGATCGCGACTCTTTAGTTGCCACGAGGGTCGCAACCACTTCGCACGGTTGCACCCTTGTAGCTCGATAGTTGAGTCAACACCCTCGCCATAGCGAGGCTCGTTAGTACACTTCTGACTATGCACTTTTGACTGTACACTTCTGACTGCGTACAATCGTATTCGCAACACTCCCCTCCACTGTAAAAAGTGTAGAAACAAGGAGAGATGAAGAGTCTTACTTACCTACAGATTCAGCCGCCTCGCTTGTCTTCACCGTTGCATCGAGCATGAGGCCATAAATCTGGCCCACGACTTGCGTGCGCATGTTCACGGTGTGAAGGACTTTGTACAAGGGCATCATGAGCCGTCATACCACAGACACAAAACCCCAAAACGCGTCGTCCAAAAGCCCAGATCTCCTTCCCTTCGTCTGCCCTTGCCATCACCACCTCCTCCCACTCCTCGCTTATCACCATCTCCCTTAGCGCCTTCTTAACCTCAAGGAACTGTGTTAGCATGAGTACTTGGGTTCCAAAAAGCGTTTCTCCTGGTCGTACTAGGGAAAGTTTGCTGAAAAGCTCGCGGAAGAGGGTGACAGTCGATGCGCTCCCCTTCATCATCATAACAGCTTGGTGGACCTATTAGATGTGTTGCTGTTGTCGTGTGGCATAAGATCGAGGCAACGGGCTGCACAACTGATGAAAAACACTTAAGAGAATTGCTTCTCTAACAACGCCACCACCCTCTTGTTGTTAACAATGTTGCCCATCACTACTTGGACAACGTTGCGGTAGCTAGTGGTGTGAGAATCTAACAGGGAATGAGTGAACTAGCATTGAGTTTGGTACAGGTACTAACCGTAGAACTGGGTTGTACCCTTTATGGGCTACCCCACTATAGCATACACAAGATATACAACATATAGTTTGACAAATGGTGCAAATGGACCGGCGAATAAGGCTGGCTAGGTATTTGCCGACCTTTTTTGCCATTTTTGAATCCACGATATCGACCATGATGGGAGCCATGTCATTGTTTGCAATGACACACACCAAGCTGGGGGAATTTCTCCACCAACAATGCCGCTGCCCTCTTGTTGTTAGCAGCGTTGTCCATCACTACTAAGACAACGTTGCGATCGTCAACGGTGACAATGGACCAGTGAATAAGGTGGCCATGTATTCGTCTGTTTTCTTTGCCGTTTTTTAGTCCATGATGTCGACCACAATGTGAGCCATGTCATTGTTTGCAATGACGCACACCAAGCTACTACTCTTGAGGCATATCCACCCGTCGACGCTTAGTGAGCATATTGTTGGCCCTTGTAGGCCAATTGATTTTTGACAGCTTTAGCAACTCATCGATGTCATACTTCAGCTTTGTGGGGAGGGGGGCGAATACAAAGTATGCTGAGAGAAGGGTGTACGACTTTCTAAAGAAAAGCAGATGAAGGCTTGGACGGCCTAGGATTCGCTAGATTGGAAAGGTAAATCGTTAGTGACGATTGGGGCAGGCCCAACTGTCCCCGTACAGCCACGTCCGCCATGTTTCGGATGTCGCGTTGTCTTGAGCGGTCGCCCGACCGTGGTTCATCTGTGGATGTGGAGCCACGGTTGGAGTCATTCACACCAGATGTACACTCCTCCTTAGCTGTCGCTCATAGCTGCTTCATAACATGTTAGTTGCACATGGCTACATTCTTTTCGTTCAATGTAGTGTGCTGTAATGGTGCTCACAGAACGTAGTTGCATTAGCAGTGACAGGGTCGTCGCAATGCGCGCTGTCACTTAAAACTAGTAGAGCAGCCGTTAGACGATGTATCTCTCGTAAAAGGTTCCGAATGTTTGATATGGGTCTATGCATGCTGACAAAGTGATCTTAGGCGATGTTGTAGTTAGAAAAAAACGGCAACAGGGTGTCGGAGTATGAACAAATGAGATGTGGAAGCTCTATTTAAGTCGTGCTTCAAAGGCGGTGCTGGTGTTGCTTTGTCGGGGGTTTTTTACAGTGTCTCAACAATTGTCAACTAATTAAAGCAAATTTTGCAATAAGACGCACGAGAGGATTCTGCTCACAAAAGTATATAACCCAATGTGCCTTTTTGGTACATTGGTAGCTCACAAAAGTCATGTCTTACAAATGGCCAATGGTTTTGGTAGCTCACTTGCACCCCCCAATGTTTTTTATCAGATTGTTGACGATGTGTGTCGCGCATCGGATGTTTTGCACCTTTGGAGATTCAGACCTGATAATGTTGGCCACATTAATATTGTTGCTTGTGCCATCGCCACCACGTTCTCAGCTCCAACCATTCCGATGGCTCTGTTGAGGTATTCAACAATGTATTTGCCGCCCCCCTTCTTTATACCGCAATCAACAATGAACGAGAAAACAACCACCTTAGTGTTCATGTCAAGATATTCATCTGTGGGCGGCTTGAGATATCTGTCTATCCGCCACTAGCTATGCTCACACCGATATCACCCCATGAGGCTTGATCGATTCCAATGCGTCGTGCGTTCTATCCTTGCAATCTTGCAAGATGCGACCCATGATCAGCTTTTGAGTAGGTGGTGGAAATCTAGGACCACGTGCGGCCACTTTCCTCAACATAGACTTGAAAGCGGAATGCTCCGCCACATTAGGGGAAACGCGGCAAACGTGTTGTAACTATCGGCTGTGCGCTTGCGAGACTTGCAGCTGTATGCCGGCACTAGAGCAACGTCTTCTTATTTACTAGGCGCTTGCTCTGTGTAATAATAGCAACGAATTCGCTTGTTTACCTTGCTAAACGCGTCCATAGTGTGCGTTGTGGAAATTTGCTTTGCTTCCTGTGCACTAGCCTTGGCTGATGTTGCTTTACGCACTTCAGCAATTGCCTCTGTTGGTGCTTTGTTGTATGCTTTTATATCCTTGCTATTACCAAGAATATGCGCCTGGGCATGAGTACTTCAAAATTTGCATGCCTTTTCCGTCAAATCTGACGGGCATGGATTCGCGATATGATCTATTCGTAAAACATAATCCAAAAAAAAAAAATGTGCATCATTTTTTTTGCCTGCCTGTTACTTACGCGTAGTGTAAATTTTACGCTTATGCAACCTAAGAATCTGGTAAGAGCCCAACTTAGGCGCTTTGCAACACTCGATGTAGTGTACCCGGACACCATCATCTGCTGTCATATGCTTTAAGGCCTCACACCTGCCTTTGACGCTCACAAGCTTGCCTACATGCAACTTATCTCCAAGCACCACACCCCTGCTGAAGTTGCTAAGTGGATCATCATCACTGATGCTCAGATCCCTCAGCACTCTTCCCTTATAGTCGCATCATCTCAGTCGCGCAACAGCAAGGGTGGGCATAGGGGTGGGCGTGGTGGTGGGCGTGGTGGTGAACGAGGCGGATCAGCTGGTCGCGGTGGCACTAGTAGTGGTTTTTCAGGTCGTAGTGCGGCACTTGCCTTCCTCCCTGTTAGTATCTGCCTTGCTATGGTCCCACTCATGGACAGCGATGCGGCCAAACCACTCATCCCACTGAGACATGCTTCAAGGCACTCAGTAATGAGTGGGTTGC